TGAGCTTGAACCCAATCAAATAATTCTGGAGAAACTTGAAAATGTGCATTTGCTCCCATCCAACCTGACAGAGCTTGAAAGGTGAAGAGGTGAGGAGAAGAATGGCAGATAATTGCCAAATGATGATGATCAAAGCTTGTCGCATTAAACAAAAAAGACTTGAGACTGTAAAGGTGCTTCAGCGAAATATTTAGTTGATGAATACTTATGCAATGTACTTATTTCAGTTTTTTAATAAATTTACGAAGTTGTGACAATTCTGTTTTTGCTTTGTCAGTATGGTGTATGGAGTGTAGATTGATGTGGAAAAAAAGTTATTTAAAGCAGTTTAACACAAGGCAGCAACATAATAAAATGTGAAAAAATGAATGGGGTATGAATACTTTCACAATGCACTGTATATTAACCAACACTGACTACTAGTAAGAGCTGAGTGAGAACTGGGTTCCAACCAAAACCAAATCATTAAAATGTTTTCCACTGAGATTTTGCTTTCTGCTCTTCTATGGCTTACCTTCCTCCATTCAAATTTCCCAACGCTTTGCAACCCCTTGTGTTTTTCTAGATGGTAAAGATGTTCCAGAATAACAGCCCTCGCTGCTCTACCGTCTATTTGCTGCCAGGAGAGGTCCGGCTCATTTACTTCTCATTGCTTTTGCTTTGGTTTGAGTATCTTGTCAGAATGGAGGCTTAGGGTCGTGAAAGAATCAGATTCTAAACAGAATGGATTCTGTAAATCAAGTAATAGAATCCATTGCACTAAATACATAAATATATATTTTTGTAAAGAAATCAGGTAAACCCGACATGAAAAAAATCCCATTTTTTAAATATGAAGCACAGTCACTGTCTTCATGTATTGATGTACTATTCTCTCTGACTACTCTCTGGTCTCAGGACTCTCAGGACAGTTCAGATGGAATCCCATGTGCCCCGCGCATGACCGGTAGCTTGGTGTCCGACCGCAGTCATGATGACATTGTGACACGAATGAAGAACATAGACTGTATTGAGCTGGGCCGGCACAGACTGAAGCCTTGGTACTTCTCTCCATACCCACAGGAGCTCACCTCTCTGCCCATTCTCTACCTCTGTGAATTCTGCCTCAAATACCTCAAGAGCCTCAAATGTCTCCAAAGACACTTGGTAAGAGTAGTTAGACAACTGTAAGGTTTAAGGTGCAGTCACATTAGTGAAATTTTGCAGACATTTTTCATTATCAATAGTGCAGCCATGCATAAAGTACACCACACACTGAAGTCACATTTAAACCAAGCAGCTTTCTGTTGGTCAGTGCGGTGAATTTGCATAACCAGCTTTAACACCAGTGAAGTCTGCCTGGGGCACATTTCTACCCTCATGTAAAATTCTTGATTGCACAGATTCCCATTGAAATTTTGCAGTGGGAAATGTGACCACATCTTTAAATAGCTGTTATAGTTACACATATTTTGTATATAATTGTATTACATTTAATATAACTATTACTCCTCCTGTAACATTTACAGACAAAATGCAACCTGCGGCATCCACCAGGAAATGAGATATACCGCAAAGGAACCATCTCCTTTTTTGAAATAGATGGCAGAAAAAACAAGGTGTGTAATGAGAGACAGATGACAAAATTTGAGTTTTGATTAGTGCTTTAACACAAATAATTCAAGAATGATGTTGTTAAAGTGGCTAAACGTAATCAAGAATATTTAAATGTTGCTGTTTGGACACTTCCTTTAATAGGGTCCAGTGCATGTGTTGTACTGCATGTACTATACATCTTTTGTGGTCTCTTAAAGGTCTTTTAAATCTATTTTAAATCTTCTCTTTCACTGCACAGGCATATTCCCAAAATTTGTGTTTATTGGCCAAATGCTTCCTGGACCATAAGACCCTGTACTACGACACCGATCCTTTCCTCTTCTATGTTATGACGGAGTATGACTCAAAGGGTTTCCATATAGTTGGCTACTTCTCAAAGGTATATTTGATCTCTGCTGGCATCTGTTTTTAAGTTTTTTAATCCTTCAAACATTGCTTGTGCTGTATTTAAAATGAAAACCTCTTGGCTTCTTTGAGGCCACTGTATTAAATGTCTTTTTTTTCCTTGTTCATTAAAGGAGAAGGAATCAACAGAAGACTATAACGTGGCCTGTATCCTGACCTTGCCACCTTATCAGAGAAGAGGCTATGGCAAACTACTAATTGAGTTCAGTGAGTAATTTTACAGTTTTCATGACTTATCAAATTGCATTAGTCAAACAACATTTTTGCTCAATAATTTATGCCTCAAAGTTATTTAATGTGATTAGCCCTGAATGTTGTGGGCCTTGCTTAAAAAACACATCTTGTCTCCAAGGTTATGAGCTCTCAAAGGTGGAAGGAAAGACCGGCACCCCAGAGAAACCTCTGTCTGATTTGGGCCTGCTCTCGTACCGTTCATACTGGTCTCAGACCATTCTGGAGATACTCATGGACCTCAAATCAGAGAATGGAGAGCGGCCACAGATCACCATCAAGTATGTGCCCACTGTTTGTATTGTACTAAGAAAATACTTTATAGGCACAGTTTTCTAGCAGTGTTCTTGCTTTTGATGCTCTTAGTGAAATTAGCGAGATCACAAGTGTCAAGAAAGAGGATGTGATATCAACTCTTCAATACCTCAACCTCATCAATTATTACAAGGTAAAAATAACACTTTCAATGAACACTTCTCAATTTAAGTTCTAAATCTGAATTACTTTGGGGTAGAAAAATTAGTCATTAGTCGGATTTGCTCTTCTCCATTGCAGGGTCAATATATCCTCACCTTGTCTGAGGACATAGTGGAAGGTCACGAGCGTGCCATGCAGAAACGCCACCTCCGCATTGATCCCAAATGCTTGCATTTCACTCCTAAAGACTGGAGCAAGAGGGGCAAGTGGTGAGGTACAAAGGAGGGCCGCTAGCTCACAGATACAGACAGGAATTAAAACCAACATAATGTAAATGGTCTTGTATTTATGTACTTTTATGGTTTTTATATAAAGCACTTGTCTAAAAATATCGAGCCACCTCAAAAATGTAACTAAATGTGATGTGTAAATAAACAGTCTGTTTGGGATTATTAACACGTTTTCTTAGTCACTAAAGATTAAAGATATAGGATTGCTTTATGCATTATCTGAAATATGTGATGCATTGCATGTATTTAATCTTTTAAATATTCAGTTACACATTGTGTCATGGATACTCAGACTGCAGCTTGACAACACAAAAACCAGCTCTAGCTCAATTATAACTAAACATCCCCACACGACTGAAACACAATCTATTGTCTAGATCCATATACTGCAGATATTTTATTGCTGTGGACGACTCCCAATTGAATCAGGGTCAACACATTTTATTTGTCAATAATGTTAATGTATAAGCAAACGTTAGATTATAGAGCATATCTATAACATGATTACAGTGTCAATTTCAAGTAAAGACAGAGCCTGTATGCAAAACCCTGAGGCTGAAAAACTGGCCTCAACTTCCCTCCACATCAAGATGATGCAGGCAGAATCCCAGTGACATCACAATACTTTGGTCATGTGATGCTCAGGCACAGAGTTCTACTACATACAGCTCATACAGTACAAGCATTAAGATGCTACTAATATGTATTAGTGCTTTAATAGTCTTAATAAAACAATTTATAATATAATACTAGTATGAAACAGTTTTAGTGATTAAAAGCTTCTTCCATCCAGCCAGCTGGTAGCACTGCAGCGAGGTGAATGTTAGTGTGTGAATTTACATCAGTTGTGCATCACTGCAAGTAACATGAGAACCGTGTGACATGCTCACGCGGTGTGTGGGCATCTACATTCCTTAAAGCCTAAACAAAGGTCTGCACAGGTGTGATGGAGCGTGTGGGAGACCCCGCCCTCTCGGAGGATGACGAGGCCGTACGATTGGCCGCCTCGCGCTGCAGCTCTTCCACCCTCTTCTGAAGCTCTGCCCGTTTTGCTAGCAGCTCTTTGTAGCGCTGATGGACAGGCTCCTAAAATACATTTTTCATCAAACTGAGACTTTCAAACCAAACATAGACAGCACAAGCCATTTAAAACCAGTTAAACTCTGCGGACCCGGATGACGTTAAAAATGTTTATGCTTCATTTACATAGCCTTCCTTATATGGTATCAGCCCATATATGGGTTCATTTGAA